TCTTTTACTTGTGATCCCATAACGAAGATCATGTGTGGTGAAAAGGGAAATTTTGAAATCTCTGCTAAGTCTTCCTTCTAAATAGCTATGGTCCTATGGATCAGATGCAGCAATGCATAAAAGCAAAAACAAGCAGTCTCTTTGATAGAGAAGAGAGCATTAAAGGGGCGGTTTCCATTGCTTTGACAATACGAGGTGGTCATCTTTCATATTCCATCTTTCTTTATATAAGATCAAATGCATGAATACAAGGCATCCAGTTTTATCAATATATCAATATATTCTACCATAAACTGCAAAAACTTATGATAGTGAACATAACATAGAAAATGGAAGAATACACGAAAATCAGCAAGAGGGAGACACAACACGCATGTATCATTATTGACAGATAATGATTATTATTGGACAACACATCTATCACACATTCAAGACTCATGATACATAATTGAAATAAGAGTAAACCTTCATTCTGGTCTCTTGTATTTTATATGTCAGTCATTTTAGTCTTCTCCTTCATTTACTTTAGTCCCTAACTTCAGAAAATGTCATTCACATCCTTCATTTACTTATATTGACATTGAGGACTAGGTGAACAGCATTCTCAAAGTCAATGACTAAAGTAACATTTAGCAAAGTTAAGAGACTAAAATGATTGATGCATACACACGAAGTTAGGATTTACTCATTGATGAAACTCCAAATACACACACATGTATTCAAGCAGAAACTAAATGTACAAGAGTTGTGAAGGGTGTGGTGAGAGTGAGCGCTGAAGTGGGGGTGTGGCATAAGCATGTTGCTTATGTCTTGGACCAAAAATTCCCTCCTTTGTTTCTGTCTTAAACTCTGTCACCTGAGGGTAGGTGTCTGACCTGCGACGGATTTGGGTGTTGGAACTAGGCTTGTCGTATGCTGTGAATGCATCTCCAGCAACACCTACAGCTTTCTGGCTCTTGCAACCCAGCAGGATGCTAGGACGCCTCCTCTGCATCTCTTTGATGACTTTTGGTTTAGCATTTGAGGAAACTAAGGATGTTCTAATTGGACTCCTAGTGGTGGCTATTGACCTTTGATCATCGTAGTCTGACATGGTTGAGTACTCTAAGGCACTGGCAGTGGCTACACTCCACTCTATGCTTGCCTCACTTGGTGCATAACAAGTTGTGGGGCTGGCACAGCTAGAAACAATATTGGATGTCGATCTAGCAAGGAAGGAGTTGGATTTGCCTGTGAGGCTTTCAATCTCAAACAAGTCTGAACTTGCATCACTCTCAGCATCATTGTAGTTTCCACCAGAATTTTCTGAGAAGTCAGTTTCTTCAATTTTAGGAGCAGCTTCCCAAGATGTTTTTGCCAACCTTCTATCAAAGCTCAAGGACTTGCTCCTGCTATCCAATATTGGAGAGCCAAACACTTCCAATGAATTCCTCGGCTTCTCTACTTGAAGTTGCAGTTTGACCAGTTGATTTCCTGAGCTAGAAGTCACAGATGAGAGTGATAAACTTTTCTCTCTGCTCAATCCCTGGGCAACCTTCTCCGGCCTTTGGAAATAGGCATCCTTGCTGATCAAGATTTCTGCTTCATGAGGCTTAGTCCTTTTAACCAAATGACTACCCTCTGGATCAGCATTGAAGATATTTCTTGAAGTTGTTTTTCCATTACTAGCATCTTTGTTGCAGTTGATTTCACCTGCATGGTCACTAATATCAACAGAATTACTGTCAGAACAATAGCATTTGCAACCAAGACTAGCCAGAAAACTCTTCCTCCGCAATTTGTTTTTCATGTTCTTGGAGGAATTTCTCACACCACTTTGTAACAGTGCACTTTGGCTGTTCAAACTTGACTCAGACCGAACACTTGGAGTTCCATACTGAACTTTGTTCTTTCTAGTTACTAGAGCTGTTTGTTCATCTTTCTGGGGCTGGTTCTTGTTTGCATCATTGTTAGCAACTCTTTGGGGGCTATCCATATTCTCTCCATTGAAGTACTTTTCAGCCCCAAATACTCCAATTTCTCCATCATCTTCCTTCTTTACTCCATGGTGAAGAGTCTCCTTTCTGTTGCTGGCGAAGCCATGGCCCGATTCAGACAGGATCTCTTCTTTGCTGTTCAAGTATGAAGAGAAGGACGCATCACGTAGGTGGTAGATGTTGTTCTGAGAGTTGAAAGTTTGCAACTGATGGGAACTGACTTCTGAGATAACCATAGTGAAAAGTATCAAAGTACTCACAGAAAATGGCCCAACAGAACTTGTTTGCACAGACTGATAGAAGAAAGACACAAAAAGAACAAAAGGAGATTGAGAAAAACAACAGTGGTATAGACAAGGATACTAAAATACTTTGAATAAATGAACTAATATTATGACAACTTTTGAGTGCTAAAAGGCCATGAGAATAAGGAAAGGTAGAAAGGTTGAAAAGAAAACTTAGTTATGTGAAGGAAAGGCTAAAACTGAGGTGAGGAAATGAATACAGGAGAGAATTTAAAATGAATTGCTGAATAACTGCCTGGCATATTTAAGAGCAGCTCTATAAGTAGGCTAATGGAATATGCAAAATGTCAAATAGGTAGGGCCATGTGCTAGTGGCCTAATTGACACTTCATCATGGTTTTAATATAGATGAAGTTATGGTATAGAATTGTGATGGAAAACAAGTAATATTAACATTCTGCTATAAACATGGATTAGCACAGATTCTGTCATAAATATGGAGAAAGTTTAGCCGGCTGTGTTAACAAAGGTATGTTTGTTATACTGGAAGACCCTATGATTTGTCTCCTTCCAGGTGATAGGGTGATAACTACTGAAGAGAAACATGTTTTTATCCACTTTGGTTGTATAATATATATGTAGTCCCATCATTTTAAAAGTAATGCCCTTTTTTCCTTTTCACAAGTGGATCTAACCCACTGTATAGTCTATTCTTCTTAAATATACCTTTAACTAAATCAATCTTCAATAATCAAACCAGCTACTGAGATTTATTTGTCACACACACTGATATGGTTTTTGGAATAATAGCAGTACATATGCTTGAGATTTAATTGGTCATTTGAAAATTAGGTAATAGTGTAATTTAATTATATTCAAGGAGCTTATTGGTACTATGCAGTTAATGTGATTGGACTGTTGTTTGTGATGGAGGTATGCTTTGGATATATTGATTTGGTTAGCTCCCGTTTATATGTTCTTACAAATCTTTCTACTATATCTTCAAAATATAAAATACTCATCATAAAAACAACTATGAAAGTACCAAGGAAGTACAAGGATTAAGAGGACGATGTTACATGAGTAACGTTGTTATATCTTCCAACTTTTCTTTTTGTCATAGTTTATAAATAAAATATTAGCAAAAATAGAAAATAGGTACAACGAAAGTGTAAAACTGTTTTGCGATCAAATCAATCACCATTATAAATTTATTGATTTTTATGATGATAACTTTAAAGGTTAGATTAATAGTAGGTTTTAGGTTTAATCATTCAGGAAGTTCTTTTTTTGAACAGAATCTCAATTTCGTTCCTTATTTTTTCGGTTTCTCAATTGGATCCAAATTTTTTGAAAATTGTAACAATTGGGCCCCAACCGTTAAATTGGGCCCAACGACGTTAGGCTGTGTTTGACGTGGCACGCTGGATCCCGTTTTGTAATTGACGTGGCACGTTAAACTGACTTTTTAGTTGACGTGGCTACATTAGTAGGGGCACCTCTGACGTGTATAATTATATTTTTTTAAAAACAAATAAATGGATAACACATCACCCATCTCTTCTAACACACCACCAACTTCTTCAACTCCATGGATCCCAAACCCTACACCTACACCTACTCCCCCTGAGAATCCTCTCCCGCTTTCACCAAATGCTCCGACACCTTCTTCACCTCCGGAGATCGCTACTTCTGGATCGACCTTCGTGTCGGTCCGGTTGACTACAACCCCGCAATCTCCGAGGACGGCGTCATCCCCCGCGACGAGTTTCACCCCCTCGCCGTTGTCCACGACCATCCCAAATCAAGCAAGGTCTGCGCCGCCGACCTCGCCTCCCTCATTTGGAGCGCCTATAATGTCTTCCTCGCTCCCTCCCTCCGGATACCTGTTCTGTTTGAGAATTCACTCACCGTTCAGTTCATCCACATTCACAACGATTTCGATAGCACGGGTAGCTCCAGCCTCGATTGGAAATTGATCGAGAAGAGCTTTAGGTTTGAGACTGATAACAACAATAATGGATTGCTGTTAGGAGATCAGAGGTTGAGTTTTAAGAATTATGGAATTAGGTTTTCAGAGTGTTCGATTTGCTCGTTTGCTATTGCAAGGTCGATTAATTCATATACCTCTAGGTTTTTCTTTGATAATTATACTTTAATTGTGAGTGTTTGGATTCGAAACGGTTGCACCAGATTTTGTTAAGGTTGTGCCTGTGTCTGTTTCTGACTTGGATTATAGCATAACCAGTGCGATTGATGTTCTTCAGAGCGTCGAGACTCATGGTGGGGGAAAGAATCTGCTGAAGCAGAAGCAGCATGTGGATCGAAGATTGATTCGGAGATGCTTTGGAAATGGAGTTTGAGGTTTGGTGGATCGAAGGAAAGAGATTAGGATTGTTGGAGTTGGAACTCTATGGAGGTTTTTAGTTGGGAGAAGTATGAGCGGACGGAGGAGGCAGATTCTGTTGAAGATTTGGGCTTTGTTGAACGACTTTGGGGGTGCTTCGAAAGCCTTTCCACCATTGCTAAGTGCTTCTTCTGTTTCTCTATTTCGTCTTCCATGGAGGATGATTGTTTCTGTTTCTGGGATTCCTCAAACTCAATTCATAGTACATTCATGGTATTCAGATTCAAGCTTATTTTTCAGAGAAGATCGGGATACGAAGGGTTTGAGACTGTGTTTCAAGGGGAAGTTTTACTAAGTTTTTTTTAATTTTAAAACTACCTAAATACACATCATTCAGCCACGTTAATTAAAAACTCAGTCCAGCGTGCCACGTCAAACATAGCCTAACGCCGTTGGGCCCAATTTAACGGTTGNTGGTTTAGCATTTGAGGAAACTAAGGATGTTCTAATTGGACTCCTAGTGGTGGCTATTGACCTTTGATCATCGTAGTCTGACATGGTTGAGTACTCTAAGGCACTGGCAGTGGCTACACTCCACTCTATGCTTGCCTCACTTGGTGCATAACAAGTTGTGGGGCTGGCACAGCTAGAAACAATATTGGATGTCGATCTAGCAAGGAAGGAGTTGGATTTGCCTGTGAGGCTTTCAATCTCAAACAAGTCTGAACTTGCATCACTCTCAGCATCATTGTAGTTTCCACCAGAATTTTCTGAGAAGTCAGTTTCTTCAATTTTAGGAGCAGCTTCCCAAGATGTTTTTGCCAACCTTCTATCAAAGCTCAAGGACTTGCTCCTGCTATCCAATATTGGAGAGCCAAACACTTCCAATGAATTCCTCGGCTTCTCTACTTGAAGTTGCAGTTTGACCAGTTGATTTCCTGAGCTAGAAGTCACAGATGAGAGTGATAAACTTTTCTCTCTGCTCAATCCCTGGGCAACCTTCTCCGGCCTTTGGAAATAGGCATCCTTGCTGATCAAGATTTCTGCTTCATGAGGCTTAGTCCTTTTAACCAAATGACTACCCTCTGGATCAGCATTGAAGATATTTCTTGAAGTTGTTTTTCCATTACTAGCATCTTTGTTGCAGTTGATTTCACCTGCATGGTCACTAATATCAACAGAATTACTGTCAGAACAATAGCATTTGCAACCAAGACTAGCCAGAAAACTCTTCCTCCGCAATTTGTTTTTCATGTTCTTGGAGGAATTTCTCACACCACTTTGTAACAGTGCACTTTGGCTGTTCAAACTTGACTCAGACCGAACACTTGGAGTTCCATACTGAACTTTGTTCTTTCTAGTTACTAGAGCTGTTTGTTCATCTTTCTGGGGCTGGTTCTTGTTTGCATCATTGTTAGCAACTCTTTGGGGGCTATCCATATTCTCTCCATTGAAGTACTTTTCAGCCCCAAATACTCCAATTTCTCCATCATCTTCCTTCTTTACTCCATGGTGAAGAGTCTCCTTTCTGTTGCTGGCGAAGCCATGGCCCGATTCAGACAGGATCTCTTCTTTGCTGTTCAAGTATGAAGAGAAGGACGCATCACGTAGGTGGTAGATGTTGTTCTGAGAGTTGAAAGTTTGCAACTGATGGGAACTGACTTCTGAGATAACCATAGTGAAAAGTATCAAAGTACTCACAGAAAATGGCCCAACAGAACTTGTTTGCACAGACTGATAGAAGAAAGACACAAAAAGAACAAAAGGAGATTGAGAAAAACAACAGTGGTATAGACAAGGATACTAAAATACTTTGAATAAATGAACTAATATTATGACAACTTTTGAGTGCTAAAAGGCCATGAGAATAAGGAAAGGTAGAAAGGTTGAAAAGAAAACTTAGTTATGTGAAGGAAAGGCTAAAACTGAGGTGAGGAAATGAATACAGGAGAGAATTTAAAATGAATTGCTGAATAACTGCCTGGCATATTTAAGAGCAGCTCTATAAGTAGGCTAATGGAATATGCAAAATGTCAAATAGGTAGGGCCATGTGCTAGTGGCCTAATTGACACTTCATCATGGTTTTAATATAGATGAAGTTATGGTATAGAATTGTGATGGAAAACAAGTAATATTAACATTCTGCTATAAACATGGATTAGCACAGATTCTGTCATAAATATGGAGAAAGTTTAGCCGGCTGTGTTAACAAAGGTATGTTTGTTATACTGGAAGACCCTATGATTTGTCTCCTTCCAGGTGATAGGGTGATAACTACTGAAGAGAAACATGTTTTTATCCACTTTGGTTGTATAATATATATGTAGTCCCATCATTTTAAAAGTAATGCCCTTTTTTCCTTTTCACAAGTGGATCTAACCCACTGTATAGTCTATTCTTCTTAAATATACCTTTAACTAAATCAATCTTCAATAATCAAACCAGCTACTGAGATTTATTTGTCACACACACTGATATGGTTTTTGGAATAATAGCAGTACATATGCTTGAGATTTAATTGGTCATTTGAAAATTAGGTAATAGTGTAATTTAATTATATTCAAGGAGCTTATTGGTACTATGCAGTTAATGTGATTGGACTGTTGTTTGTGATGGAGGTATGCTTTGGATATATTGATTTGGTTAGCTCCCGTTTATATGTTCTTACAAATCTTTCTACTATATCTTCAAAATATAAAATACTCATCATAAAAACAACTATGAAAGTACCAAGGAAGTACAAGGATTAAGAGGACGATGTTACATGAGTAACGTTGTTATATCTTCCAACTTTTCTTTTTGTCATAGTTTATAAATAAAATATTAGCAAAAATAGAAAATAGGTACAACGAAAGTGTAAAACTGTTTTGCGATCAAATCAATCACCATTATAAATTTATTGATTTTTATGATGATAACTTTAAAGGTTAGATTAATAGTAGGTTTTAGGTTTAATCATTCAGGAAGTTCTTTTTTTGAACAGAATCTCAATTTCGTTCCTTATTTTTTCGGTTTCTCAATTGGATCCAAATTTTTTGAAAATTGTAACAATTGGGCCCCAACCGTTAAATTGGGCCCAACGACGTTAGGCTGTGTTTGACGTGGCACGCTGGATCCCGTTTTGTAATTGACGTGGCACGTTAAACTGACTTTTTAGTTGACGTGGCTACATTAGTAGGGGCACCTCTGACGTGTATAATTATATTTTTTTAAAAACAAATAAATGGATAACACATCACCCATCTCTTCTAACACACCACCAACTTCTTCAACTCCATGGATCCCAAACCCTACACCTACACCTACTCCCCCTGAGAATCCTCTCCCGCTTTCACCAAATGCTCCGACACCTTCTTCACCTCCGGAGATCGCTACTTCTGGATCGACCTTCGTGTCGGTCCGGTTGACTACAACCCCGCAATCTCCGAGGACGGCGTCATCCCCCGCGACGAGTTTCACCCCCTCGCCGTTGTCCACGACCATCCCAAATCAAGCAAGGTCTGCGCCGCCGACCTCGCCTCCCTCATTTGGAGCGCCTATAATGTCTTCCTCGCTCCCTCCCTCCGGATACCTGTTCTGTTTGAGAATTCACTCACCGTTCAGTTCATCCACATTCACAACGATTTCGATAGCACGGGTAGCTCCAGCCTCGATTGGAAATTGATCGAGAAGAGCTTTAGGTTTGAGACTGATAACAACAATAATGGATTGCTGTTAGGAGATCAGAGGTTGAGTTTTAAGAATTATGGAATTAGGTTTTCAGAGTGTTCGATTTGCTCGTTTGCTATTGCAAGGTCGATTAATTCATATACCTCTAGGTTTTTCTTTGATAATTATACTTTAATTGTGAGTGTTTGGATTCGAAACGGTTGCACCAGATTTTGTTAAGGTTGTGCCTGTGTCTGTTTCTGACTTGGATTATAGCATAACCAGTGCGATTGATGTTCTTCAGAGCGTCGAGACTCATGGTGGGGGAAAGAATCTGCTGAAGCAGAAGCATCATGTGGATCGAAGATTGATTCGGAGATGCTTTGGAAATGGAGTTTGAGGTTTGGTGGATCGAAGGAAAGAGATTAGGATTGTTGGAGTTGGAACTCTATGGAGGTTTTTAGTTGGGAGAAGTTTGAGCGGACGGAGGAGTCAGATTCTGTTGAAGATTTGGGCTTTGTTGAACGACTTTGGGGGTGCTTCGAAAGCCTTTCCACCATTGCTAAGTGCTTCTTCTGTTTCTCTATTTCGTCTTCCATGGAGGATGATTGTTTCTGTTTCTGGGATTCCTCAAACTCAATTCATAGTACATTCATGGTATTCAGATTCAAGCTTATTTTTCAGAGAAGATCGGGATACGAAGGGTTTGAGACTGTGTTTCAAGGGGTAGTTTTACTAAGTTTTTTTTAATTTTAAAACTACCTAAATACACATCATTCAGCCACGTTAATTAAAAACTCAGTCCAGCGTGCCACGTCAAACATAGCCTAACGCCGTTGGGCCCAATTTAACGGTTGGGGCCCAATTTTTGTAATTTTCAAAAAATTTGGATCCAATTGAGAAACCGAAAAAATAAGGGACGAAATTGAGATTCTGCTCCAAAAAAGGGACTTCCTGAATGATTAAACCTAGTTTTTATTGGTTATGTTTAATGTTTTTGTAGGTTTTTATTTTCTTCTAGAATTTTAAATATGTCTTTTTCTTTTTCGATATCTCAATTGTGTCCTTATTTTTGTAAAATTGAATCAAATAAAGGCTTTCCGTCAAATTGATCAAACGACGTTTAAAATAGTCTTACGTTGCATGCTGAAGGTATTGTTTAAACTAACGTGGCATTAAAAACGTGTATGAATTGTATTTTGTATTAAAAATTGGAGTGTAGAGAGGGGAAATCAAATTTAATTAAGGGCAAAGTAGGTAAAACAAATAAAATTAAGATCAGTCTTTTCTTTGCAATTGCGAAATCAAAATCAAATTGGGGAAAATCAATTGGGTTTCGTATTAGGGTTTGTGGAAGAAAAAGAAGTGCGTTTTTGTTCGATTGGAAGAGATGGATAATCAAATGTAGAAATTTGTTCATCTTCGACATGTAATGGGTGGCGGCATCAAAAGTCCAATGTCGTTTTTCGTGATGGAGTATCTACAACTGATTGATGGTGTGAACTTTGGAAATCAGACTGGGAAAGAAAATTGCAGGAAAGAAGATTGCAAGAAAGAAGATTGCAGGAATAAACTTTACAATTGAAAAGCATTAAAAACTAAAAGTCAAACCAAACAACAACTGAGAAAGATACCCCACTGGACAAACAAAATGGTTCTTACAGTATCACAATAAAAAAAAGATCAATGCCTGATTTGCATAGTTTCACAGGAAATCAACAATCAGTATTGAAGTTTTCAAGAGATCTTCCATTTTTTGGTAACTGACTTTACACATGTAGAAAAAAATAGCTTTCACTATTGTCATTGAATCACACGACACTCCCAAACCACAAAACCAGCTCCAAAAACAATTCCCAAACTCGAATACAAGATGTGTTACACCAGAGTAGAATGCACCAGTAGCAAGGGTAGGATGTGCTACAACAGTAGCTGGGGTAGGATGTGCTACAGCAGGCGCACAGAACGCACTAGTACATCCCGTCGAGCTTTTCGCGGCCCCACTTGCTCTGCAGGATCTCCTTCCCTAGCACTAGCGGTGGGTTCTTCCGCTTGAGCCGTCAATGTTCATGGCGCAAGAGCCGCAAATCCCCTCGTGGCAGGAGCGGCGAAAGGTGAGGCTGGGATCGATCTCGTTTTTTATCTTGTGTCGCGGGTTCCACCCTAAATCCCAGTTTGACTTCGAAACTTGAGTTGAGATTCTTCTCCTATGGAGCCCCAATCTCGGCGTTTCTCTTTCTCTTCCATGAACCCTAATTCGGAGCCCAATTTTTTTCCCCAAATGTGATTTGGATTTTTCAATTGCAGGGTTGCACTTAAATTTTTTATTTTACCTAGTTTACCCTTGACTAAATTTGATTTAACATCCATGCAATCTATTTTTTAATAAAAAAATTCTCAATTCAAACCCGTTTTAGTGCCATGTCTGATTAATCCATACACTGACCGTGCCACGTAACCCAAACTTAAACGGCCGTTTGTTCAATTTGACGGCAAGCCTCTAATTGCTTCAATTTTACAAAAATAAGGACCCAATTGAGACCCGAGAAAGAAAGGGATCTATTTGAAATTCTGGACGAAAATAGAGACCTACCGAGACATTAAACGTATTAGTTAATGATGAAAATTCACTAATATTATTCTAACTCGAATGAAAAGTATATGAATTAGTATTTGAAAAACATGTAAAATGTACAGTATGATCATATGGTCATATTTATATGATAGATTGTATAGTCATATTCATGATTGACCATGAGATTAACACTAATATTAATTCGCTTAAAACAAAACATGTTTATCCGTAATTGGGTTGTGATTAGACTATGTTAATCCAAAACCCACTCAGAAAATTATAAATATAAGTTTCAAGTAAAAAGACAAGTGATTGTATTTATTATGTATTAACTGTTGTAACGGTTGAACAAGCACTAATTTTGATATCAAAATACCTTCCACAAATAATCTCCAACTTAATTAGGAACATTCAAGACAAACGTGAAAATGATTGAGATTAGGACCGTAAAGATACGTAATATAGTAAAACAGACAACCTCAATTCCATAATCAAAACATAAAATTTTAAGATTTTCAACACAAATCAAACATGAGAATGTTGGAAAAGATTTAAATTTTTCAACAATGAAACTTCGATGTAAAAGTCAAATTTTCAAACTTTACGAACTAAGATGAAAAATTCTATTAAAAGAGATGTCCATATTTAGTGTTCATGTATAGAATAAGATTGTCTTTAACAATTTGTTTGATAACTTGAAAAAAAATTGTCTGGGAAAGTTGTGTTCTTTTACTGATTTGATAAATAAGTTAGATTATGGAATTTGCAGTATACTTCAGTTTTATTAATGGTTGAAACATAATAAGAGTGAAGTAATGAACTCCATCTGTATCAAACAT